TCGTAATTACATCTGAAAATAAGCAAAATTGCATTCAGTATTCTAGCAATATTACCAGATTCTGGGGTGCTAGAGTTCTTACAGGTGATTAGGTCCTTTCTGACCCAAACAAAAAAATTGAATGAAACAAACATAAATGGTGGCAAAGCTTCGCATATATTTTAAAGGTGTGGAGTGGGGAGCAGAGGGCTAGAAGAAAAACAGGCTCTGCAGAGCAAGTTTTGTCCGAGTAAAAGGGGAGGAAAAATAAAAATTGCCATGCAGTGGTGGTGAACCTATGGCACACACATTTGTTTTTCTGTTAAGACAAAAGATGTTATGTATGAGTTGTTTTTTCTAAAGTAAAGTCTCAGTATTCAGATTTAATTGGTAGTGCTCCCACTTAGTGATACATAGAGTAGGTTTTGGGCAGTCTTCTCTAAAATGTTGGGCACCATGGTGAGCTCTTGATGGCAATTCTCCTTTTTGTATTTCCTGCACTGATAGCACACCCATGTTATACTATCAGAAACCTGCTCCAGTTCCCTCAGGAAGCCCCATGCAGGGCTCTGAGAACTATTCTGTACCTGAGTTTTAGGATCTTGTCAGCCTGCTTTCCCAGCCAGTTTTAGCCATGCCCTAGCTTTTTATCTCAGGTATAGTCTGCCTCTGTTAGTATAAGGGCTACTCTCCCATCCCTACAACTGGGTTCAGCTTTCTTAGATTGCCTGTACTCGATCTAGTGGGGAGACCTCAGTTGGAACCTTGAGCCTTTCTGTTTTATGCTCAGCCAACCTTTACCATGATCTCTGTACACGGTCTCCCCCTCCAGTGGGTGACCGTAGTCCCATAATAGCCTGTTTTCAGGATGGATTGTAAATGACTCCCACTGATACGCTCCCTCATGCCTTGCGAGTAGATGCTGAAAAGACAATAATAATATTTTATGAAGAATTTTATATTTTAAGATATTATTTGTCTTTTGTTAAACATTACAATCTTTTAGGAAGACCTTACAAGTTCTAAAATTTGTCCTTTCCTTCCCAGTCTTCTGATATTCAGGACTCAACTGTGTTTTTAATACTATATCTGATGGTTTAATTGATACACATATTTATCTTCCATTCAAATAAAATAATTAGTGTTTTGGTTTAAGTAGTTATCTTAAAAATACAACATCAGGAATCCATTCTACTCTTTACCCACCCCATTTCTCTTACCATGAAAGAAAAATTAAATTTTTACTAGAGGCGGCTTAAAGTGTATTGAATGTTGATGTCATTTTGGAGCTTAGAGAATGATAAAAGAAAATTACCAACTGAATAGAACTCCACTATGAGAAGGCAATTGTAATTCATACATTTAAATAAGAAAAATCCTATTTTGGGAAGAGAAAAGAAAGGAGGATAAATTCATGGGAGTAGAAGCAGCCAGCTGCTTGATGCGCCAGAAATAGTTTTGCCTTTTGATTTAACTTTTTTGGGAAATGTTTAGCTTCTAACACCGGAAAAGATGGTTGGATAGAGTAGGTCTTATCTCAAAAATAAATACAGTAAACACATTTCTCTTGGTCTTGGTCTTCCCCATAATTCCTACATGATTTTTTTTTAACAAGCAAGTTAACAAAAGTCCTGTCTTAAGGATTCAAACTTCCATTTTACTCTTCAGGGGCAGCAGTATTCTTACCTTTGCCCCGCCTCCCTTTTCAGGGCTTTCTAAAGTTACCAAAGACCTCATGTGAAGCATCTGTTAGTGTTGAGCATGACTTTCACATCTGTCTTTTGTTTGTTTTTTGTTTGGTTTGGTTTTTTGAGACAAGGTCTCACTACGTAATTCACACCACCCTGGAACTTATTGCATAGCCCAGGCTGGTCTCGAACTCATAGCAATCCTCCTGCCTCAGCCTCCCAAGTGCTGGGATTACAGGTGTATGCTACTGCGCCCAGCCCACATCTGTCTTTTTTAACACCTGCCATTTCTTGAGTGTGCGGGTGCTAGGCAATCTGCTAGGCGCTTTCGATCATTTGTTTCTTAACTTCCTCAAATTCATTTTTTATTTCTATAGCCATTTTCATATTAGATATTCAGTAAAAATGTTGTTATGTATAATTTTTATTCCAGAAGAGCCAGGCACCTAGAAATGGTCACAGCCTTCTTCACTCTTTCCTCCTTAGTCCCCATGTAGTCATTAAATCATATTACTTTGCCTCATTTATCTTTATTATGTTATTCATTCTATCTCACCATTCCTGCTACCACTTCCATAGTTACAACTTTAAGTTCTTGTCTCCATGTTTTCTCTGTTTTTATTCTCTCTCCACACCTTCTATTTCATCTTTAATCTTTTCATATATATATCATCATTTTACAGTCCAGCTTATTCAGTTCTGTCATCATCAAAATAATCAAATTTATTAACCTGGCACTATAGGGTTGTTACAATTTGGGGTTTGATTCTAAGATTCCTCTCCCTTTCACTCTGTTATACCACATTATTTGTAATTATGAAAATGCCAGGCACTCACAGCTCAGTGCCTGTGGATATCTGGAAGACCCTTTTCCCGAGTTCCACCAACTTCTTTCAAAGGCTTTCCCCACAGGCACTCTTACCGGACAGCTGGTGTTGCTCCTCTTCACTCCAGAAAGTTCATCTTTATCTTGTCCTTTATCTCTTCTGTCTTCCTATCTAGACTATGAACTCCCCATTTTTTTTTTACTTTTTTTGGGAGGGGTACTGGGGATGGAACTCGGTTCCTTGTGCTTGTGAGGCAGGTGGGGGAACCACTGAGCTGGATCCCTGGCCCTAGATCATGAGCTCCTGAGGTGAAGACCTGTGTTGGGTTTCTAGCTTTCATTTCTGCATAGGGAAGAAGAAGGAAGGAAATAAGTGAATGAATCAGTTCACTAGATATGTATGTACTTATAAAATTGGTAGCTATTTTAGTCCTTCTTTCATTACCTGCGTTTTAAAAGGGCAAATAATAATCCACTTATTTATCTGCATTAATATACCTCACAAAACACTACTAATAATATCAGGGTTTAAAATTACCAAAAGTAACTCAGATGATAAATTGCCGCATTTGTTTGTTCTACTATAGAAGCGTTATGCTTAACGTGTTAGTTGCTAATTGCTTTAAGTGTTAAAATGTTAAATCACCTTTGTATTAACTCTGAAGTGTGTTGATATTTTATCCTTATTAATTATTAGTACATCCTTTTTAATGATTATTACAAGTGTACTGTATCAGCTCTCTCTGTGGTTCCTTCACTTCGGCAACCTTCTCAAGAAAAATCGTAGATACAATTGTGGCATAGCTGTATAATTCATCCTTAGCACCATTTAGTTCTCATGCTATTTCAAGACAATTTCTAGTAAAGAAAATAAACCTCTTTTGTAGAAGATGAACAGTGTGCCAATTTTTTTTTTTCCACCAGTACTAGGGATCAAACTCAGGACCTTACACTTGTGAGGCAGGCATAGAAAATCAACAGTGATAATTTGGTAATATTGGTATTGTTCCTTTTCACAGATATAATCCAAAAATTATTGTTATTCGTATAACAATTACTTGGTAAAAAAATTACCTATTTAAATGATGGCCATTTGCTTTGTAGCTGCAGATGAATTGACTTGTATCTTAATACTTTTTTTTTTTCTGTTTTCACGTATTTCAGTTAGTTCCACTATTTTTGTCTTTTCCACATCAAACATTTCAACCAGGTCCTTCAAAGGGAACCCATAAAAACTGAGGAGTGAAACTACCAACTTATACATACATGTACATGCAAAAACAAGAGTGTTGGAGAAAGGAAAGGAGGATAATTTAGAATTTTTTAAGAGGCTGATCATCTCTTTTGTTTTATTCTGAAAGAAGGATAATAATTGTTTTCGAGTAAAACAGTTTCTGTAACTTGACAATTTCATTAGAGTGGGATTCTGACTTAAAAAATTAATATATCAACTGAGCCTCAATGATAGAAAGTTAGTGACATCTTTGCATCTGTTCTAAGCCTGTTTGCTGTCCAGCATACTTCATTTGTATATTTTTCAGCATAGCAGAAGCACCATAAATGAACTGAAAATGCAAGTATAGGACATCAGAGTGTACATCTGTAGGTTTTTTAAAAATTCCTTCTTGCTCAACTCATATATAATTGATAGCACTTCAACCACCCTGTGGAACATTCCTGCCAGTGTAATCCACATCTGACTAATGAGATGGTTCTTCATAAACCTTCAGTCTTCAAGGAATGTAGTCAAAGTGGGAAAGAAAAAAGAATTCTTTCTTGACAGAGTCAGTTTATATTGGAAAGGCTGGAATTTTTTTTCAGCTATCTCAAAAATCAACTACCTTCAGCTTTACTCATTATATTTTATTAGTCAATTACTTGGAGTAAATAATTTATAATAATGCTATGTAAGATATTTCTTTTTAGCATTAATACAGATTACATAGATACACATTACACAAGGTACTGTGATTGTTAAATTAGTTTTCTTCCAGACGCTAAGGTCAAACTAATATGAAGAAAAATAGGTACTTCCTTGAGTTTTGAACAAATTCAGATTGCCTTCCTGAAATGATAAAAAAACCAAGACTGGGCCTTCCTGTGAGAAATAGGTCAGAATGTAATAAGAGAAATGATTATGTATAATAGGAAAAAATTTTAAGAAGCAGCTGCTGCTTGTATTGGACTACAGATTAAGTGTGTCTCGTGTCAGTATTACCAAACTTCTTTAAAATATTTACAGTGATTTTTTTAATAGTAGTATTTAATGTCTTATGATTCAGATAAACACCTTTTAGTTTAATGTCAGCTTTTGTTCTAGGATTCTAATTTTCTGCTTAGATAAAACTTGCCTATTGGAGAAGCCACTCAAACTTAACTGTGTGTGTTCTTTGAAAATAAGCCTCAGCTTTTTGACTCCCAAGTATAATAAAAAAAATTCACTCATTGATGAATTCTTTTTTGTTGGTTTTGAATCTGGCATTTCACTAAATTTTCTTTATTTACAGAGCTTCCATATGGCTGGGAGAAAATAGAGGACCCTCAGTATGGCACATACTATGTTGAGTAAGTTTCTTGCCCCAGTTAATATTCTCCCACAGGTTTTCCTTTCAGCATATGGCTTTAGGGGACACTGGACATGGCACTCAGGGTTCTATCATTGAGCTCAAGAAGTTTTCAAATGGAAGAATAAGAAGGTAGGGGCAGCAGGCCCCTCCTTTACTGCCTTTGAGCTTCGCAAAAGCTGGCCTTGAATTTCTAAATATAAAAGATAAGAGGAGGAGCCTGGCATCCACCTGCAGTCCGAGCTCTGTGGGAAACTAAGGCAGGAGGATGGCTTGAGACCAGGGCGACATAGCAAGACCCCATCTCAAACAAGAAGAGAGAAGGTGACTAGGAGACTAATGGCTAGAGATGATGTCCTTGCTCCTGTAGCTTTAAGGTGAAAGGCAGTAGATGGAAAACTGACATGGGGACATTGGATAGGTGACCCCCCACCTTTGTTTTTTTGTGACAGAGTCTCACTATGTATGTAGTTCAGGCTGGCCCTGAACTCACTGTGTAGCCCAGGATGGCCTCCGACTTGTGGCGATCCTCCTTCCTTGGCTTCCCAGGTTCTGGGATTACAGTCTTGCACTACTATGTCTGGCTCTTGGATAGGTGAACTCTTGAGGTTGCTTCCCATACCACCAGGGTACTTATTCTTCTGAAAACAATTAAAATACCTTAAAAGCATAAATTTTTGAAATATGAGATTAAAAGTACATTCCCAAAGCCAGACATGGTAGTGTACACCTGTAATCTCAGTACTTGGGAGGCTGAGGCAGGAGGATTGGTTCAAATTTAATGCCAGCCTGGGCTACATAGTGAGCTCAGTACCAGTCTGAACTCATAGCAAAACTCTTGTCTCTACAAACAAACAAACAAAAAGTGCATTCTTTTTTAAGGAGTTAAGGATAATTTAGTATAGGGAAGGGCAGAATTGCTTTTTATGCAGCTGCTATGGTTAAATTTAAGTGTAATTATATGTCAGAAGAGCACCAAGCACCTGTTTTATATTAGCCGAAGAAACTAGGCCAATGTCACATCCAATTTTTCTTTTTCTTTATCCAGTTGCTACATTGTTAACAACCACTGCAATCACCTTCTTTCCAGATGATGTAGCTAGGATTTTGACCTCAGGTGGCCAGTACCACACAAATGATCATACCAAAAACATTGCTATTTAAGGCTTAGCAGAGGCAAAATGATAGTATTATCTAAAAAAATAGCATATGTACCTATTTTTATGATTGCTTATTAATTTCAACACTTGTGTCATAAACCATGCTATTTTATGGTAATCATTTGAAAAGTAAGCATCTCTGACTCTTGTATGATCTTTACTGTGTAGGCTATTATTGAGTCACTATGGTTAGAGAGATTTTTAGAATAGCCTTGAAACCCACTGTATATCCTAAGGAAATCACTCAATTCTATTGATCCTTAGGTGTAAGTTTGAACACACGGTCAAGAAGTGAAAGTCATTTGCCTGTTACACAATCTTGAGCTAAGTGATCCGGTCCCCACTAAACAAGGATATAACTGTTGTTTCCATGTTTTGTAGTTCCTTTGAATAGCTATGGTAATTTTATTTCCATTGTATTGTTTAATATGTTGCTGATACTGATGAAATGTGATATGAAAAGTTCTGTAGATAGCAGCTCTTTTGTTTTTGCATAAGGCACAAACAACTGTTCTTCAAGTAAAGGAATAGTTAGAGGCCAACTGAAATGGTTTTCTGGGATGTCTGTTAGTCTTGTATTTTAGCCTTTGTAAAATTGGGTTGCAATCAACTATTATTTACCATTGACAATGCTGAACATTTCTGAGATAATGATTCTCATTATTACCCATTCCAAGTAAATTTGAACACACGGTCAAGAGGTGAAAGTCATTTGCCTGTTATACAATCTTGAGCTAAGTGATCTGGTCCCCACTAAGCAAGGATATAATATTGAAACAACTTTCAGACAAATCCCGGAGGGACCTGCTCCCAGTTATCATGGAGGTGCGAGAAACAGCCTGAAGTAGAAGCAACAACAGCAGCAGCACTGTGGTTTTGTACAACTGTTCCCAGAACGAGCTCATTTACAGGGGGTAATTTATTAGATGAAGGAAGAGCAGACTGTACTCAACATGCACATTAGTATGGCGTCAGCTGAGCTGTGGGGAGTGTGGCTCGGTTCCCAGATTAGCTAGGTTTTGAATTTCGCCTGTAGTAATCTGCCTGCTTTTACTGATGGAGATAAAAAGCTGTTACTTGAATGGCTACTCTTTGGCGCTCTCAGTTTGTCAGACCAGATGGCACAGTGATTGCTTTGGCAAGAGCCTTGTAGTAGTAACACCGACTGCAATGGCAGTTTTTCTTCCTGAATATTTATTTTAGAGGCTGAGATTCTTAAATGGATTGGTTAATTTTGAAAATGGAATTATTCCAAAATTAGTTGTAGGCCTTTTATAAAAATACATATTTAAGAAGTGTTGTCTTGATTGTTTTTCATTAAAGGTCTCAATATGCTCAGGTGACAGTGTTAAAATATACATCTAGTTTCTTACCGCATGTTCTTTATGAATTTGAGGTGAATTTTTAAATTCTAGATATTAAACACAATTGTAATATAGGTGATATTCCAAATTATATATTATATATTGAAGAATGCTTTTTTGGTGCCCTTATTTGGCTTTTCTGATAACCTGTAATACTGTCTTCTCTTATAGAGTATCTCTCACTCCAGAGCTAATTATAGATAGTAAATAATCTTTTACAACTTAACAATATGAGAATGTAAATAACTAAAAGAAAAGGAGAATATTTTCACTTTTTTGTTTTACGTTGAAGAGCAACTTTTTAATCTAGTCTAGGGTAACAGGTATAATTACTTCCTTCACTAAATCATATTCTTTTGTCAAAGAATTTTCAAGAAAAGGATTATTCATTGCTGTACTTCTACTGTCTTCTCCCACACATTATAAAGGATGTAAATATAAATTACTACTTTTTATGTTCTAATGCCTGGGTGGCAAAGTGAGTCACGTTAGTGGATGACGTTAAAGGGAGCCAAGATTCTTTCTAAATAGGTTTCTTCTTTTCTGAGTGTCAGTTTTTAGTTATTGTTGTTTTCCTTTTGAGTACATAAAATGTCAGTGCCTATTTTTTAAGTGGTACTTAACATTTTTATTTTTACAGAGGGTTAAACAGAACTCAGTGGAGAAGGTGCCCCTTCTAAAAAGAATATCAAGTGGAACTTGCCATATTTGAAACTATCCGCATTTGTTGTGAAGCTAATATGCAGCAGAAGCCAACAGGACAGAGAAAGCTAACATTCCTAGCTATAAGGATTATTTGTTCTTGTCCTTGGTGCCCTTTTCTCCTTTACCTCTAGTGTTCACAAACAGCAATGCAACTCTTTGATTTGAGTGGCTATTTAAATGTAGGTTTTGTAATATTCAGCTTATCTAAAGAAAATCATATCCTGAAAATTCTCATAATTTGGGTGTTTAATTCTTGGTGTTGACTAATGCCATTTCTTGTTGAAATGGATTTTACTGGAAAACATTTGTCTGAAATATATTTGTACTATGGAAGTGCTAGAACATGATTCCCACAGTTGTGGTTTTCAAACTTAAAACAAAACAGTTGTAACCCGCTTTCACCTAGCTGACTTGCAGGATCAGCGGTGGTATAGTCCGCTCCTAAAACACACAGTTGCCCTTCAGTGCAGCTGGCTGACCACCTCTACCCTCTCATCTCCCCACACTCTTCTGCTTTGCCTCCTCAGAATCCTGTGTTTTTCAAGAGTCAGTTGTGAGTGTTCCCGGTCATAAGTGCCAGTTAAACCCTTGTGCTTATATAATAATTTAATTATTACATATTTATGAAGAAATTATATGTGAAGTTGTCCTGTGACACAGTATAATTAAAGAAAGTCATTTTGGGTTGGGGGGACGTGCAGCAGATCAAATCCAGGGCTTTTTGGGGAAGCATTGTACCAGTGAGCTACATCTCCAGTCCCAAGAAAGTCACTTTCTTAGTTTCTGCTGAATGGATGTGGGCAAGGCGGTGGAAAAGTAGTGTTCTGGAAGAGTTCTGTACTCAGGTTTCTTTGAAAGTATCTTTATAGCTTGCTTCATTTTAGAAAAACTTAAAATCCTTTTAACATTAGCTGCTATTTAAAAAAATTATTCCATCAAATAAGCGAGTTTAATTTTGAAAACTGTTGCCTGCCATATATGGTAGGTTTGTGGAAAGCTATGTTAAGTGTGATATTGTGAGTTTCAGCTGCTTTGACTTATAAGCATCTTCTGTGGACCTCCTGTTATCTCTTGTCAGTTTCTTTGTGTCCCGTAGTCTAAAGATAAATGTTTACCCTGTAACCTGTGGTAATGGAAGGGTATGAATCTGTGTAAAAATATGTAACTCTTTTATCTGAGTCTAAGTGCATATTTTCTGCATTTTACAGTCACCTTAACCAGAAAACCCAGTTTGAAAATCCAGTGGAGGAGGCCAAAAGGAAAAAGCAGTTAGGACAGGCTGAAATTGGGTCTTCAAAACCAGGTAGAACTTTTTGTTTGATCTTTTCTTCTAAGAATAAGTTGTGAAATTTGTATGCTGAATTAATGAAAGTAAGTTTGAACTTTTTACTGCTGGAACTTTGAAATTCTACAGGGAATATCTAATACTTACCACTGTAAAAATATGAATAATCTTAATAAAACATCTGAACATTGTGAGAAATACTGAGATTTTTCTTACAGTAGTATAAAAATATGAAATTATTGGGTGAAAAATCAGGAAGCTTTTTTAAAATGAGTTTGAAGTTTAGTTTTGAAAATTGCATTGTTTCTTTATGTCTAAGGTCAGGCCCTATTTAAATCGTTATGACTTCTTCTGAGTTAATCGCTGAAGTCCAATGTCTGTACCATTCAGGAGTCTGTATTAACCAGTATGAATAATAAATGTACCACATTATTTGCCTACATCCCTGAGTATCAAGTAGGATGGTAGGTATCAGTATATCAATTATTTGGAAAACATTTTTAAAATACATGAAGTTTTGATGATCCCACTCGTACGTATTTTGGAAAAGCTTCCCAGAAAGTCCATATACTTTACTCACATCCATCCCTTCTTCCATCTGTCATTCATAACCAGGGATCTGTTTGCTCATGGTTTGGTAATCTAGGAGACCTCCCACTTCAGTTGCCCATGAGAAAAGTGGTCTCTTCTTATAACTACTTTTCAGAAACCCAGATCCCTCTCTTAAATTCTTCAAGCAATCTGAGTTTAACAAATATTTTTGAGCCCTTACTATCTGCACAGTGTTTTGCTAGTTACTGGATATTAAAAATGATTGAGTTTAAGACAAGTTTTACCCTTAAGAGATCACAGTCTAATACAGGAAACTGTTGGTTGTACTATGTGGTAATTGGTACCATTCTAGTAGAATAGGTAAATGTGCAGATATAGGAGCAGGTTTATATCTCATCTATTTTAGTTTCCCAAAATCTCTTTGCCTCTACTTTCTCATCTATAAAATAGGGATAATAATAGTACCTATCTCTTGAGGTAGTTATGATGACTGTGAAAATCAATACATTTAGAGAACTTACACTTGTATTTGACATATGGTGACTGATAAATGATCACTTTCATTGTTATTAACAGAGCTGTATAGTAGTTATTATCCCTTCTACTGGGGATACATTTAAAACCCTTCGTGTAGGGCTGGCTCAGTGGTTCTGCCACCTGCCTCTCAAGCACAAGAACCCACGTTCGATCCCTGGTACAAAAAAAAAAAAAACCTTTATGGATGCCCAAAATCATTAATAATACCAAACCTTTAGCTTTCTCAGAGTCCTGAAAAAAATCAACTTAAAGGAGGAAAGGCTTATTTTGGCTCAGGGGCTTCAGAGATGCCAGTGCATGGTCTCGCGACCCCATCATTTTGGGCCAGTAGGGTGGCAGAACATCGTGGCTGGGACATGGGGTAAAGCAAAGAGAGGAAGGGGCAAATCTCTTCATATGCCCTTAAAGAACACCCCATGGATGCACTTTTTCAGCTAGGCCTCACCTCCTGGAGGTTCTGCTACCTCCCAGGAGCACCATCAGCTGGAGACCAAGTCTTCACCACATGAGTTTGGGAGGTACATCTATGTAAGATCCAGACAATAACAATACCTGTGATAAACTTTCACTTCTTCACTTAAAGGGAGCTCTTTATGGCTTCTCCTTGGCATCACTACTCATACTTTAGGGCCATTATTAGGTGAAGCAAAGGTTATTTGAATATAAGAACAGTGATATCACAAGAGTTGATCTGATAACTCAGACAGCTAGCCAGTGACTCAACTAAACGACAGTAGTATATACAGGACTGATATGTTGAACAGAAGGGTGATTCATGTCCCAAGTAGAATGGAGTGGGATGGCACAACATTTTATCTCACTACTCAAAGCAGCATGCTATTTAAAACTTAGGAATTGTGTATTTCTGGAATTTTCCATTCAAGATTCATTTAAGATTTTAGGACTTCAGTTCACCGTGGGTAACTGAAATGAAGCCATGAACATGGGAGGATGACTGTAATGGACTGAGGGGTGGGAGAAAGTAAGACCAAAGCCATGAGGTGGGAAAGGAGGGGCTTTCCCCTTCCAAATGACATAAAAGCATTCTATAGAGAAGTGATTCATTAGCTAAGTGCTTTTCAGTGATTCAGTCTATGAGCTTCAATTCTAACAATTCTGCATCATCAGATTCTCTCTCATTTTCTTCTTATAGGGTTTCTTTTATTTGAGGTATACAGGTTGGATCTGCAGGCTCTATTCCTTTATAGTTGTTTTTGTTCTCAAACCCACTTCTCATTTTGGCTCAGATGTGGAAAAATTACACTTTACTCGAGATCCATCCCAACTTAAAGGTGTCCTTGTTCGAGCCTCACTGAAAAAAAGCACAATGGGATTTGGTTTTACCATTATTGGTGGAGATCGGCCTGATGAGTTCCTACAGGTGAAAAATGTGCTGAAGGATGGCCCAGCAGCTCAGGATGGGAAAATTGCACCAGGTAAGGAGTTTTTCAGAATTACTAAAGAATAGTAGTACTGTAACAAAAATTATAGAAAGACATTTTCTCTATGTATGTATACAGAAAATAAATTCTGTAACTGCAGTCTTCTGTATCAAAACAGTTTTCCTACAGCCGGGATTGGTGCCACACCTGCCTGCGCCTGCCTCACAAATGCAAGGTCCTGAATTTGATCCCTGGTACCAAAATATAAACAAAAAAAGGGGGAAAAAACCTGTTCATCCTCAAAATCAAGTATATGCTAGCTTAAGGAAAGGCCATTTTTACAAAGAAGCAGAAACTATTAGAAAAAACATATTAAATTTTCTAGAATACTTTGTATAGTTTTTAGATAATCCCTTAGCTGTACAAAGCTAAAATGTAAACCATCTCAGAGGACCGCTTGAATGATACTATTTGGTTGGGTAGGGTTCTTTTGGAGCTATCAAACCTTTGGTTATAATCTCTTTTTGAAAAATAGCCCATTATGATATTTATTGTGATAGCTAATTGTCATAGCCTGTGGTTTTTTTCCTAAGATTTTGTTTGTTTGTTTGTTTCCTCAGCCTTACTGATTGTAAATAAAATTGAATGCCAGTGTTAAAAGTATAGGTGCAAACGTTACTGGTTTTACAGAGCTTTATAAACTTAAGTTGTCTTTTATATAAGTTTTCCCAAAATCTTGACTTGGTAATTGTTTATGGGTTTTTTTTGTTGTTGTTGTTTTTAAGGCAGGCGGTAGAACCACTGAGCTAAAACCCTGGTCCTGTTAGATATTTCAACATGGCTGAATATTTGTGGGAGCTCAGGGAGGCTCCAGACAAGTTACTGAGCCCTGAGCAAAGGTGTAAGCACTTTTTTTTTGCAGCAGGGATTTAATAATCTATGGAAGTTGCTACTTTCAGGCTTTTCAAATCCTCAGTTCTGTCACATACCACATAATACAGACTCACATTTGGATGGGTCTGTTGTCATGACACTTTTCACTTTGTTTTGTTTTGGTTTTTTAAAATAAAGTCTTGATGAGTTGCCCAGGTTGGCCTTGGTCTTACGATTTTCCTGCCTCAGGCTTTCAAATCCTGGCATTATAGTTGTATGCCAGGACCGCTGGCTCTTTTCTTTTCCCTCTCTCCTTTCCTCCTCTCCCTCTCCTTCCTCCCTTCTTCCCTTCCCTTCCTTATGCTGCACTGGGGATTGAACCCAGGACCTTGTTCATGCTAGGCAAGTGCTACCATCGAGCTACTTGCCCAGCCACCTCCCCTGTATTTTTTTAAGACAAGGTCTAAGTTGCCCAGGCTAGCCTCAAAACTTAGGATCTACCTGCCTCAGTCTTCAGAGGAGCTAGGATGATAGACCTTCACCATGCTACGCTTGCCATGGTACTTTGTGACACAGATACTGTTATTTTCAATTAATATATGGATCTATCATGTTATATTTTTCCAGTGAGTTGATAGAAACTTAAAAATAATCAATAGTTACAGTATAAATAAATGTTTACTATTTATAAGATTAAGATTAATAGAGCCAGGCATGGTAGTGCACACCTGTAATACCAGCATTCTGGGAGGTTGAGGCTGGAAAATTATTAGTTTGACCCCAGCCTGGGCAACTCGGTGATTTAGCAAAATCTTGTCTCAAAATAAAAAGTAAAAAAAAAAAAAAAAAAAAAAA